CGTACTGCAGAACTTAGGTCGTGAAGCTATAGAAGACATATTTTGGGTTTATATATTATATTTCCGGTTCTGTTTAAGGTTAGACACAATGGTGTAATACTGTAAAACTGATGCATTTCCGATAGCATGGCGTGAAGAAAACGCGTGAAGAAAACCTGCACTTTGCGTAATTTACTCTCTTTGGGATCTAGGCATATTTTGACGAAATATGGTCAAAAAAATGCTACATGCAAGGTTTCTTCAATATGATTACTATATATTTCAGTGGTTGGAGTTTACTTTATTTCTTTAATTACAAATTCAACAAAATTACTTCCATTTACAGAGTAGGGTTAAAACAACCTAAGAAATACAGGTTTACAATTTAATAATTATTTCCATATTGGGACAATGTATGCCATAAATCACACTATGAGCGGATTTAATTACACAATTTACACATAACAATAATCGGGGAATTTCTATAACAGTTAGTATAAACATTCAGGGAATGGCATGTTATATACGCTGGAACATGAATATTAATTTGATGTAATAATTCGGGAGCTTTAATCATATTATTTCATAATAACAATAGAGAGAGAGACAGAGACCGAGAGAGAGAGAGAGAGAGAGAGAGAGAGAGAGAGAGAGAGAGAGAGAGAGAGAGAGAGAGAGAGAGAGAGAGAGAGAATATAATAGCAAGCGACGACGTTCTGTACGACTGTGGCGCACATGCACCAATGACTTATGTTTCGCTATCAATGAAGCGATCGACATAGTCCGTTTCTGGGCTGAAAAGCTATAATTCTTAGATTCGGACAGGAAAAAGTAAAGTAAATATTGGTTTAAACTCAGTTTCGAAATGCTCACAGTAAATATCTCTGCTCAAGTTTAGCATTTAACATAACTACCGATGCGCATAAATGTCCAAGTTGTGCCAAAGGAATTTCTGGAGACGACACTCTCGATATAAAATAATTTCTAGAATTTTGTTTCAAATTAAATTAAATGGACTTATTTTACTGTTTAGCAACAATTATAGAACAAATAATAACGGAAATTTAATTACCATCTATTGTTAGCTACATAAAAGGTAATTTTGAAAATTGTGAATTGTGAACTTTAATAAATAGTTGGTGGAGTGGATCGAGTCGATCATGTTATGAAGGACTGCATATAATATAATATTGAATGTGAATCTTCGCTTTTCTTGTTCACTTTCAATAAAACATTTCGCTTAAGTACCCTCCATTCTAAGATGCAAAAAGTTAAAAAACTTACGCTGTACCTTCTCTATCGCATCAATCAGAACTTTATAAATTTGATACTATATTATAGACGCATTTTCAGATTAGATCTAAACATTGAATTGAATAAAACCATGAGATTTTGTAGATTCGAAACAATTAAATCAATAATTAATAAATTCCATCATCCACATTGTCTTAATTTTCGAATACCCCCTACAAATCATTTTATCCAAATACTCATCCAAATTTTAATTTAATGCGCAAGTACGGAGTTAAATTAGCTTAAATAAGTAGCATATAAACTCTAATTTATATTTTAAATAGTAAGAATTCCCAGTGGGGCATTTTTAAATGAAATTTATTTATGGTTTCGATTTCTCCCGGACGATTTATCAGTACATGCTGCAAAGTACAATAGCGAGGTAATTCAGAGTAAATAAAAACCAAATGGTGATTTATTTTCAATGAAAGCAGTCATTAATTTTCGGTTTTAACATTTAACCAATCAATTTTTTGCATTGGGTGTTAATTTGTTTTGTTTCGGTGGATTTGGATTCGCCAGTATTTCAGTAAGAAAAGCGTTGATGGAGAAAAATATTTGAGTATTTTGGAGATCAAATTATACTGAAAATCAGTGCTTCACAAGGAACGTGCATCCGAATTTAACAGAACAAATAACAAATATCACAGTATCTATTTTGTAAAGTATTTTTAATTTAAAATCGCCAGGAACGCATTCTGAAAAAATGCAGATTGGTTGTGGATGACGTAACAAATTTTAGCTCTCCCTACGCCTCATAAACAATAACAAAATATGGCAGCACAATTCTTAACCAGCTGCACTTGTAATTTTGCAAAGTACTTCGCTTATTGTTATTTATATTCAAGCATGGGGAACAACTGTCCCTACTGCCCTATAAATTCGGAAATGAAATATAATCATGAAACTTTCCGCACGGTCATAAGTTAGAATAATAGCGAAAGAAAAACCAAATTAACCGGTAGTTTAAATTCATATACGGGCAAAAATACAGCTCAAATGATATAGTTTAACTCATAAAAAATTATGCTTACAATTTCGAACAGTAATGAGTACATTATACTTGTCAATATAGTGCTAGTTTTATTTTTAAATTTATGACTGCTGCCGAGTTTTTCAACTTGGAAAAAGTAAGTTTATTGTGGTCGTAACTAAACAGGGCAGAGAAAGAGACAGGACGTAATGTATAAAACAAGATATTTTCTTAAAAATTGCACCCAAATCGAGTTTAGTTCGGTTAAGGAAATCTTAACGGCAAAATACGTTTACGATCACCATTACATTTCGAAAAAAAATACAGAAATCTTTAACAAAAAATTAAATTGAGACTACTGGCTCCAGTAATATGAGTTGTTCAAACCAAAAGAACGTTTTGAACTGTATTTTTTGACATCAAAATTATTACTTTTTGAAACAGCAGGTTGAGCTCTAATAGTGTACAGAACAAAAAATCTTCGCAGTAGGCTCTGGAAGGTTCGGGCGCATCAACCAAAAGAGGGCATTTTGACTCCATTCTTTATTTTCTATAGATCTGTATACTACAATAAAAGTTTGTGAATCCGAATAAAATTTATATAATATCCATATAACACTTGAACGCTGTGGTCAACATTTGTATCTACCTTTAAACAAAACAGAGAAATTTTAACGCACCCTAGTTTAATCCTCAATTAATCCTGTAAAGGCATAATGATAATAATAATAAATTGATACACAATTTGAGATCTTACAGAAGCTGAAGAATATGAAGACCTAACTATCCAGCTAAAACAAATCAGGCATCTTAACGAAGTAACCATATGTCCATTGGTTATGTCAACGGATTCAAAAAAAAATCAAGAAAAATCTGGACCAGCTAGACATGCAGAATAACATCTTTGATGCATCACGAAAAGCTATAATACTCCAGACATGTTACATTGTTCGAAAATGTTTGAGCTTAGGTGAAGTAGCTTTGGAGAAAGCTCCTCTCTACCAATATCAATCACCAAAACCTGCAAAGCAGAGAAATCTGAGACTTTTAAAATAATAGTAATAATAATAATAATAATTTTTATTATTCAGAATTAGTACGAGGAAGGAAGGTGCTATATTTATAACAAAACTAAACTTATAACTAAACTAATAACAAATAAAAAATACATACTACAACATTCCATATTCGCCTTATATACAATAATTGAAAAGAAAAAAAGAAAGAAGACAGAGCTACAGGTAAGGAGAAAAAATGTATTTCTTATTTAAGCAAAATGAAGCGATAATCTAGCATAAACATAATAAAAAATATATATTTTAAGAGACAGAGCAAGGTTAGACAGTTTTCACCTTGGTTGAGAGCATTCTACCATAATTTTTTTTGTTTGTCTCTTCGAAAAGAAGGAAATTTGAAACGCATTTCACATCCAAAAAGTTCTTCTGCAAGATCACTAATGCGAATCTAAACTTTTCAAAATTTTAATTAATCAAATTAATTTAGAATTTAATCCTCTTATTTTTATATAAGTGTGCAAAACAGTAGCATAATTCTTTCTCATGTATTAAATTCGAAAATACTAGTTGAATCTCATTGGATGTCTAAGAAAAGAAAATTGAAAATAATTAGTTTACTTAATAAAAACAAAAGAAATATATTTTTGCTTCTATATAAACTATTGTGTGGCGTATTGGAATAGGAGCTTCCTGTTTGTATTAGTACTGCTTTAAAAAATAGCGTAAATAAAAACGAAAAAGAAAGAAAAATGGATAGAGACAAGGTAGTATAAAATATGAGCAGTAAAATGTTTTCGAATGATCTTATTGATAACAGAGAAACAAACCGTTCAGCGTTTAAATATGTCACGTGTTAAATTTATTTAAACAACACAGTACGAAAAATATCATTTAGGAAGATTATTTTTTAGCATAGTATTAGGCTTTTGAACTATGACGGCGTGTAACATTTAAGAATCTTGTCAAAGAAACTGTTCTATGTAATAAATTTATACCCTTAAGTTTATGAGATATGTATACTCTCTTCGACAAAGGCCGACATCAACCTGACACGCGAGTTTTGGAACTTCTGTATATATCTATTATCAGAGTTATCAATGCATGGTCCATATACACGCTCGCAATAATTTAGTGGCGACAAAACAGATCAATCCACATAGCAATATGGATGTAATGTGTGTAAACTTTAGTTTTTACAGTATTTCTAAATAGTATATTATCTTGATTTTAGAGAAATGTTGTCAAGTAAGTCGTTTTCTGGACTAATCAAAATAGCGACGAATTTACTCGGATCAATATTTGCCTCCTGGTCAATGCATACATTTGCTCGGGATATGTTTTTGCTCTGGAGGTTGAATCTAGAGTGCGATAAAATTTATCGTTCATAACAAATCTAAAACAGTAAATACGTGTAATATTCGCATATTATTGTTGATCCCTGGTTGTGGTGCGTTCCACTTCAACTTCTCTTATATACCTTCTCCTTCAGACGCTTGAAACTAATTACTCGGATTTGATTACCCACCGCTGCAAACCCAATCGTCACAAACGAATGGCAATCGAACAAGCTGTTTTTAAAATACCACGTCGTTATCAGAACGAAATCCGAGCGGGCGGCCAATTCGAAGGCCTCAATTTTCTCAATTTTAATGTCGTTTAACACACGCGCTGCAAGCCGGACGAACATATAACTCACCGCTGATAACAAGGGCGATATTTTTTCATTCTTAAAACAAGAATCTACGATGCTCGCGAACAATAACGTCTGGATCTCTGGATCCACGTGGATCTAAACTGATCCTGCGCAACTTCAACCACGATCCTGACTCCCGGATTGAGACAGAAGTTGTGTGAACTCCGCGGTGGCCGGCCGACGCGATTCAGTATTATTGTGGCTGTGTTTAATTTTCGATTTCGCTATGCTGTCCGAACTGTTTCGAATGATGGAAAGGCGATTGTTTATGCTGTTACGGTTTTGGGCCATTTTTCAAATGGTTTTCGCTGTGCGCGGTAAGTTCTCGTGAGCCGTTACAATTGAAATTTGACCGTAGATGTAAGAACATTTTGGGAATTTCGGCGTAATCCAAAACATTTGGTTTCCTAGTGAGTTAAAAAAAATAAAAAAAAAAGAATTTTTTGCATTACTCTGTTTGCCTTGTCTCGATATCTAACATGATGAATATGATGAACAAGTCCAAGTTCATTTTTTTATTAATTTAGTACATTTGTTGGAAAGCAGCTAGAGGTAACGCAAATGTATTTTTTTTATATAAATATAGAACCATCATTCATTAAAAGCGTTATAATATTATCTTTTTATTTTGTAACTGATCTGCCTGATTTTTAACAAATTTTATTGGGAAGGTTTGTAGTTTTTTGTAGGTAGCGGAAAAATATTCGCATGCATGCTTTTTTTAAAACCGTAATTATTAGAATATTTCCCCTCAAAATTCTATTGTTGTTGATATAATTGCAAACATTTTTCAGCCTCTCTTTTCAACGCCATTTGTTCTCTAACAACAATGATAGAACAACCACAAAAATTTCCTTTAGTAAATTTTTCGCAACTTTATTTCACAATAAAAATTATTTGGCGACCATATAAAGCAATATAACACAGTTGGTATTTGTCGACTTGTTTATCTATATTGATTGTCTATCCTGTTTATAATAATGCTTTCTGCTTGTGCCACTTTAAAAATCTTTCATTACCGAGCATACGATCAAACATTAGGTCCGATAACTGAAAGATTTTGTCCCAAATTCATTAATTGCGCCTTCCGTATTTAGATGATTTACATCAATTATTTTGGGACAGTATGAATCTTTTATTGATAATAGTTGAAATTTTAGATGTTTTGGAATTTTATGAATGACTTGCCGAGTGTGAATGTAATATTATTGCCTGGTATTAAGGTGCAATTACTAATAGATTGGCTTGAGGTAATCTAAAATTGTATTGCAATGTAATAAGAGTTTGCCAAATTTAAATATCGACCTCTACGAAACTCAAACATTCAGCATTTCATCCAATATATTTATCACATACAGTAGTATGTAATTTAAAGGATGTAGTAACTAGGATAAATACCAATTTCATTTTCATATACGAGTACGAGCAGTAATTTGAAGATAATTTTCAAAACTGTGTAGGTTGAATTAAACCTTTTGTAGGAATTCAAATATGTTTGAAATGGTTTCTGTTGCTCTGTGATATATGACTTTCGTCTATATATTTACCTTTCGCTTCTGTAATCATATTTAAGTGTGAGAACAAATAATTAATCTGAAAACTAGTATTTAGTAAGCAACAATTTTAATTTGATATTTTTACATTTTCACATCTAATGTTCATCACATTAAGAGATTTCACAGGAAATTGTGCTCCGTATAAAAAGACCTATCCAACAGAATATTCCTTCCGAGATGAACGAAACATATCGTGAAAGCACCAAGCTTATTATAAAGGAAATTCACTACATATTGATAATGATTTTAAAGAAATATTTCCAGAAAGAAACATACTTAAAATTTGGGAGTAGGTTCTTCATTTGGTATGAATATAATGATGAAGAGAAGGTTAACAACAGAGCACCTGCTATTTTTCGAAATACCCATTTAACAGTGATTACCTACTTCAATTTCGGTATGAATAAAATTAAGCATATATTTCAGAAATAAAGGAGTTACTCAAATAATTTTAAGTTACCTCTTTACGTTGATGAATTAGTTGTAATTTTAATTTCATAAGTAATAACCGAATTTATGCCTCTGGCTTGTGCACGAAATAATTATAGAGTTCAGAGAGACTATCGAGACGTTGAGTATCGAGTTTTGTATAGATAGAGAAAGAAGAAAAACATTTGTTAAGAGACGAGTTTGAAAGTAGAGGTGGTGCTTTAAGGGCTACTGAAAAAATTAAAAATTTTCTCCGTTACGTTGGTGAGCCGGGATTCCAATATGTTGTGCACAAACAATAGATTCATCAACAATTGCAAAAGTAATGGACTCTAAAATAAGAAAATTAAATGTATGGATAAATTTTCCGTCTACTGCAGAACAGTTCAATTCGTACAATAGATGTTTGACTCGAGAACGTGTTATAAAAGAAAAGTGTTGTGGTCAACTGAAGCAGCGTTTTCCTGTACTTCAACACAAAATCCCAGTAAAAACAGAGATAGTGCCATCTCCTGTATTGAGCTGCGTTATGCATAATGTTGCAAAACAACTAACGACGAAGATTTCCCTATCTTGGAAAATGTGAACAATGATAGTGATGAGGCTTTACAGATTGCAGATTATGGTGAGTCAGTTGTGCGCTTGAGAGGACAACTAAGAAGAGACGTACTAGCAAGAAGAATTCATGGTTTGAGGAAGTACTAAGTGTGGGAATCAAAATACACCACCAATACGACATTTCTTATTTCACGAGTTTCGGTGATTTTTTTAATAAAATTTTAGAGGGATCTTTTGCCAAATTTGAAGGAGAGCCAAAAAAATGTTTTTTGGGTTTGGCTTCGGTGAGAAACGGCTGCTGCTATACGAAAGTGATGTGAAAATCTACCTTTCCCATAATGACACAACAATTTAACAAAATTGAATTTTAAAATTAGAAAAAATTATTAACTTTTGGCCTAAAGAACTGTTCCAAAAGAACTAAACGTTGAAGTTCTGGTGTAAGGTTTCTTGGATGTTCCAATTACATTATAGTTAGAACTTGATTGACTCACTAACATCACCAGCCGAAATTGCTCCTAAAACAGCTACTTTTTAGCTACTATTAGTTATGTCCGAGAATATTATTTTGACTGTAGTTAAGTTAATTTGAATTTGAACAAAAAAAAATGTATCCTTATCACGAAAATTACAATAAATTGCTTGACAGATATTTAAAATGCATATCAATTACTACACCTTTACACATTGTAGATTTACTTACCTTTTACTCTGCAAATTGAAGGATTTATTTCTATTCCATATATTTAAAAAAAATCGTTTCTCATTCTTTCATTTCGATAATTTTTTTCAGGTTTGATTTTTGTCAATCTTCTATATTTGTGCTTCATTCATCTCTATTCCAAATTCATTTCCTAGGCATCCTCTTATTTCAGGAATTGCATTTGCTTTTTTTTAACATCGGGTATGTTTGATTTTGACAAGAGTATGGGAAATTTTTCAATTACATCAACAAATGTTACCATTTTAGACGATTCCCCGAATGTGTCCTCTTCCATATCCATTATTGTCAATTAAATTGCAATCTATTTTGTAAGACAAGTATACGGCAACACTATCGCAACGCGTACTACCACTAATTAAACCTGTTTGGACTTGTAAAACATTATGGCGCTCACTGTGATCTGGAGCATGTACTTAAAAAGCCGTGCTCGTTTCCGAACGAAAAGTTTTTTCATACTAAAAGGAAGTATGTTCTCAATTTCTTAGCATCTGCTTCGGGAATGTACTAATTTTTTATTAATACCACCCATTATTTAGATTTTAGAGTTTGTCGTTACGACGATCGAAACAAAACGATTTCTCTATTCGCTACTCCAAAATATCCAATTATGCATGCGCAAAATTTCACTTTAAGCTGTAAGATTCGTTAACCACTGTTTCCGGTATTTTAGTAACAGGTTTGATCGAGATCTGAAATTTTAAACATTGATGGTATTAATGTTTTTGTTTTGTTTCGCCAAAATGTAACCAAAAATTAATGGTAGTAGAAAAAATGTGATCTGCAACACACAAAGTTCAATCAAATCCTGACTGAATTATCTAATGAAATATACGAAAACTAATTATTTCTTCGGCGAACCCTAGATCTCCTTTGCGAGTGTGCTAATACTGATGCTTAACAGAAATTACGTGATCCAATTTAAAAAAGTTTCTGTACATTTTATGATGACCCATAAAATAAAATGATCCAACCCGATATTTAGACGTGAATAATTAACTGATATAGTCAATATTATATTCATCCATCCAATACCAAACAACTTTGTTGTTAACTTTTCAGAAAGTATCTTAGTGTACTGATCGTGTATTAATATTCTTTCCTATAATTTTCTCTTCACAGCGCACCATATCGATGATAACAATCTCTCTCTATATATTTGTAGTTCGATCCTGAATATTCAAGTCGAAGATAGAAATTTCTGTTCTGTCCACGATATGCTTAACATCCTGCAGCAGCGTTTTGCAATGCTGCTATTTTTATGCCATTTGTTGCATTCTGACAACAATAGCACACACTAATTGTGGCAAGCCTTATAGAAGAATTTTGGTTAGTTCAGTCAAGCTTGATCCCAATAAATTGGTGGCAAATCAAATATCTACTTATTCCTTAGCACTTTCAGAAGTATGCCGTGCTTCATTAAACTGGGAAAGTCTCATTGCAATTAAATGCGTCCGTGTTTCGCTCTTTGCAGAATTCCTTGCTGGTAAAATTTGGATGCGATTTCGTACTTTTAACGACACAAAGAATTGGCAAAATTACGTGCTCAACAAAACAGCGACATACACTATTAAATCTGGAATCGATGCGCTATCAGAGACAATTGATGCCGTTGCCTAAATTGCACCGAAACGGAAAACGCGATCTGCTCCAAAGGCATTTTTCCTATAATTTTGCATAATTTGCGTTGTCATTTAAAGTAGAGACTAGAGCTGCTTCTGCAAACAATGGAAAGCGAACGGTTACAAAAGGTTTGCCATTAGGTTTAAAATGAGAAAGCGTATGATACTAAAAATATGAAAAATTGTTTGCCCTCTATGAGTCTCTTTTAAGCGAATATCATTAAATCTAGGACAAAAATGTACTTTAGAAACCCTCTCGTAATTCGTTGGTCGATATGGCAGATTTTATTTCTGGATATTGATATTTGGTGCCCGCGTTGAATGATTCAACGTCAATTTTTGAATGTTGACAAATTTTAAATTCTCGTTACCACCCAATTTCAGTCACTTCAGCGATACTACACTTTCATAATTACGAACATGTTTATGTT